ATTAGTGGCATTTTATTCTAGGCTTTTTTCTAAATACCAAACATGTAGATTATATTAAAAAAAACAAATCACTCACACATCTCATTAACTTCTGATTGGTGTGGCCACGGACTGATCAGATAAGGCACCAGAATAAGTAAACCTGTCTGTTAGCCTGGTCTGAACCAGTTGGTGCACAGTATATCACCATGGTGACCAACTGCTTTTGTGAAATCAAGTCAAGGCTTAATCCTTAAACCAGGAAACTAATGCCAGCAACATGCATTCATGTCACATGGTGGCAGGTTGATAGCTAAGAGGTTAAAAGAATATAGGAATGCATTGAAATGGTGTTAAAGAACAAAAAACCAAAAGGCGCAGGGTGCAACACAAAGCAGTCCTTCCAAAAATAACACTGAATATCACTGAATTGTCAGTCAAAATGCATTTATTTTAACTACAATGGGGGAAACAAACTGACTCCAAGGACAAAGCAGAAAATAAAACACCACCTTCCAACTACAAACATAAAAGACAAAGCACTCTGTGAAATAAAAAAAAAAACAATGAGCAAGCTCCCTGGCTGCCCATAAGACTAAAGCAATACAACAAAAACTGAGACTCCAAAAAAGCTTCCACTTTGATCTTAAACATCTCAGCTAACATAGTCTGTCTCATAGGTTCACACATAAAAACGAAGCACACAAACTCACAGAGTCACTAACAAGATCAGTGCTGATCAAGGCCCACTGGGAAAGGGGCGTGGTGTTCGGAGAGCACACTTTTAATGCAGTTTCTGATGAGCTGCAAAACATCTCAGCTGACGCCAGTTCAGGCAACACGGCTTGTATCAAATGAGGATGAAAAGCGCTCACATAGCCCCAGAGGTCAGTGACCGAAACAAGCAAAGTTTTAATGTTTAATGTCTTTTGTTGCTATACTACTTAGATTATAAAAAAGAAAGTGTGAAGAAATAAAATATTTCTTGCTAAGCTTAGTACTCTTCATCTAAATTATTTGTTTCCAGAATAAATCATAAAATAGCACCTTGTTTTTGTTTTGTTATTTCATTGCTGGTTTCTCAGGAAATAAATGTCACTGTAATTTGATTATTGTTTGTATTCAAAAGGAATGATTAGAATTTAAAAGTTACAAAGTGTTTTTTTGACATATTGTTACATTTTGCATAATTATTGGGATAG